GGAGGAGCTACTGCACGGAAGTTCAGGATCTCACTCTGCAGATTTGTCACATGACAGCGAGCGACAGGACAGAGAAAGATCTCCAGGTCAAATGTTTTTTAAACCTAGGTTGCCATGTCAGAGTGTAACTCCACCACAGAGTCTGTGCAGGCTCAAGATCTAAGTGATCAATTAACCCAGACCAATTAACTGATCCAGATATCTGCACTGGATAAAATCAAGTCATACATAACAACAGGAATATTCTGCTAGGAATTTGGGAGCCCACAGAAGGTGCTAGGTCACCTAGATCATTTAGTTTCTTTTCCTGAATCACACAGGACAGAGAATTTCGTCTTGACTCAAGCACGGCAACACATCAGACATCTCACTACTGTACAAAGGAAAGAGAACCAAAGTGAGACTAACTGGTCTCAAAACCGCCAGACCTTGCACAGCTCTGTTCTCTGCAGATGCTGTTTGAAGTGCTGGGATTAGCAGAGACTGAAAGCATAGGCGTGCTGAATAATGAGCAAGTTTATGCAAGCTTACTGTCAGTGAACTGAGAAAATAGTGTGTACAGTCAAAGCTTTTTTTTAGTTATCATTTCTGAACCTGCTGGTGGTGAACAGCTTGTTAAAATGACTGTAATGGGAAAGGGAGAAGGGGGAGCAATAATCAACCAGTGTAGGTACCTGGAGTCCTTAGTGTAGGTACCTAGAGTCCTTAAGCACCTTCTGTCACCAGAGAGAGATGGGCTCCTGCCCACCAGAGCAGCTGCTGTGCTGCAATCCTCCCTTGCAGGAGCCCATCTCTCCCCTCTGGCCACGGAGGCCCCCAGAGCTGTGACCTTCCTGAGGTGACCGAGGTTTCAGGGGACCACTGGGCCTGTCCAACAGCCGACACGTAACAGACGGCCCCCATTGTGTCCTTACAGTCCCACCTGCATGGTCTCACCCCCTCCTTTGCTTTGAGTCTGAAATTCCTCTGGCTCTGTTGGCATGAACCAGTTTTCTCTTCTTGTTGCCATGCTAGGTTTTTGCTGGCTCAGTGTGTCAAAACAGCTCAGTGTAGGATCAGACAGGAGCCGGAGATGGCACGAAGGAAGGGGTGCAGTGCAAGAACAAGGACTGGACTGTGTAGCCAGCCATGACAGCTTAAGTCACTCTGGAGCTACAGCCCAAATTTAGCACCTCCAGTTAGGCAATGTAAATATCCCACCATGCTGACTTCCTTGTGGTGTAAACCAAGCCATTTAAAATATGTTTTACTATGCTGCAAGCATAGCAGTGTTTGACTCATAGCCATACAAACTCCCTAACAGACACTAAACAGGACTACATAAGGCCCCGCAGGGCGAAGAGAAATAACCAACTCAAGGCAGCACTGGATCCTAAAGGAAGATGCAACATTAAAGATTCAGAGGAGAAAAAGGAATAAAAGCAGCCAAGCAGGCTTTAATCTGATGGTGATGTGAGGCAGTCTTGTGCAAGGACACTGTCAGCCTCTGCAAAGGTACAGTGGAACTATTAGCACGTTGTCAGTGTTTCTATCTTTAGAAAACTATTTAATCTCAATATTCGTTCCACAGCATGTGACAGCATTGGAGGCCCACAAACCCTAAAAATGATTATTCCTCATGTGAAGTAGAGGGAATGAAAGGCCCTTCCTAACCTTTGGTCAAGAATCCTTCATAAAAACTGCACTTGACTCAGTCTTGCCAAAGTGTCATAAACATCTCCAGCCAGGTACAAAATCCATTTATTCATCATTAACCTGGCACAGATGTAAAATAAACAAGAAATCACAGGTGTAAAATAAATAAGAAATCGCAGATGTAAAATAAATGAGAAATAATTTATTCAGCTACCTGAGAAAACATCCACTCCCACAGTGAGTGTACTTCAGCAAGTCTTGATCAATCTGACTGTATCCTGTCACACAGAAATGCCACTATTAACTTGCCCAGCCTGTAAACAAATTAACACGACCTAGCCACCAAGCACACAGCAGCAGTAGCTATAATAAAGCCGAGTACAAGGTCTGTGCTTCTGAGTGAAGTGGATGCAACTAACTTCTCATAGTAACTTCATGCCTGGAGCAAGGCCTGAGAAAGCTACGTTAAAAATAGGTTCTTAATCTAAAGTCTAACAGGGTATATTTTTATTCTATGAGGAGTTAAGAGTATTTGTAGATAGGAAAGGTTAACAATTCCTCCATGTATTTATTGTCAGTCCTGTGCTCCACACAAATCACTGTCAGCTTTGAGACCATAGAGAATCAGGTCTCCAGGCCAATGGCAAGTGTAAACTTCACTGAAACAGCACTAAAAAGTCAAAGTGTCTGTCCATGTTACAGAGCTTTCTGTTTGCTCTCATTTGTGCGTGCTACATCACTGTCCTTCAGTTAAGACCTCTTTTCATTAAGGAAACTAGAATAGGTTTCTTCTTTTCGGCTAAAGTGCTCTTAAAATGCATTCCAATAACCTTTCCAGTTATTAACACATGTGTGTTATAAATAACATGGCTGCACAGAAATAGTCCAGACACACAGTAACTTCAGCTCTTTATGGTGTGTCATGGTACACTGTATATACATTTATTCACTGAGATAATACAATACTGTGCTAACTAACAAACGCTTTTGAAAAACGTTGCTTCTCCACTGCAGGTAAATTTCATTTTCTCCGCTCCACATCTTCTATGTACACACAACCAGGTTTTGCCACTTCACTCATGCCGAGTAGTTAATTTAGTTTAATCTGAGCAACGAATGATACCCTTTGCATCATCTTTACATGCACACAAAGCACTTGCAATTGATCTGGATACAATGCAAGATCCTCTCAATCTCCAAAAGATGTATTAATTTTTCCAAGTCAAACCATGTACCTGCTACACAGCCAAGATCATCTCATTGCACTAAACTAGACTGGAATAAGTTACAGTCCTTGCCTGAACACAGGTGTGTCTCTGTCTCTCTGGATGAAATATGATGTTGTTCTCCTCAACCTAGGCTGTTTGCATCACCCAAAGGACAACTACATCACTTTGCACAGCTTCCAGCTACAAACACTCAGGGACAGTCTACGTGAGTGATTTATGGCATAGGAGGAGCTCTTTTGGGAGCAAATTTGTCTTTGATCTATAACTAGGGTCTTGCAGTAGGCAATCATCCATAACACTTGTAACATGGATGCAGGGTCTTGCAGCAGCCAGCTCTCTGCACATGAGCAGCAGATGCCTGTGGCCAGAAACTGGCACAATTTCACTGCTGGTGAAGACAAAATGTGGACGTGTGGTGCTGGAACCACAGCAGATCACAGTAAATCAAACCTGTGTGCTCGCCTCTTTCAGTCACCAGCTGGGAACACAGATGTACCTATCAACTCAATTCTGATGGCTTTGTTTCTGTTAAAAGCCATACTGATATTCAGAGGCCCACTTGCGTATTAGTGGTGTCATTCAATGCCCCAAAGCACTACCTATTTTTTAAAAACTTCATTTTCAAAAATTGACTTTATTGCTGATATGTGCAGCCAGGATTTATGGACGCTTCTGCTTGGGTAGGAGTAGTATTGGATTCTGATACCATTATCTGGGAAATGGATCAAGATGCTGAATGTGTCTCAACTAACAGACCTGGAACCATAATGATTGATTCTAATACTTTCAGGATTATTTATGTGATTTTTAAAACTGCTGCAAGGTAAGCCTTCAAATATAACAACAATATAGAAATGCTCTTATGAAGTATCAGTTTAAAAGTTTTTTTGAACCTTATTTTATAAGGTTCAATTCATTTAAGTAGGATTTTTTTGCACATATAATCCTCAATGAGTGGAATATTGAATGCTCTTTAGATCGGTTGGGGATTTAATGCTACAGTGGCAAAAGGAGTTTTAGTAAACAAAATACTCGATAGTATCTGACTGTAAGAAGAGAAGGACACTCTATCTTTGAACCAATCATTCAATAGACTCTCAAAAAAGCCACTGAAACTCTTATTTTAACAGAAACTGGTTATTACAAAATTTGTTTGGTTTGGTTTGGTTTTTTCCTTGCAGTAAAACATAAAAGCAGTAACTTACAAGCAGCCATAGCTAGGGCAACAACTGCTTGTCATAGCTCCTGTAAATGTTAATGTGATTCTTTTCATTGGGCTGATATTTCACTTTCTCTTGTTGCAGGATGTTGCTCCACAGGTATTCCTGGACCATACAGAAACTGAAAGCACAAGAACTGCATGGGTTTTAAATTAAGTGACTGTAGGTTCTTTTCTCATATATCCTGGTATAGGAGAAGAGCTTGAGGTTGATGTAAGAGGAACATTCTTCTAATAATGCTTCGTGTAGTTTCCTTATCTGTAGCCACATATTGATACGACAGATGTTAGGTGAAAAAGAAATAGAAGAAGTGATATGTTTGGTACCTATCATTTTTCTAATGAATGGCCCATCTCGTAAGTCAGCCGAGATACAGAGCTGGGATTGCAGGCATGTCTGCAAAGTCATGCCCTACCAGAACTCTGGGGATTGCAGCATGGAACCTAGTTTATTGTCCTCGTTTGGAGCTGAACTGGACCTTAGACAGGAACACAAGCAAGAAGAGGGGTTTAAAAACAATTATAGAGCTCTGGTCCTTCAAACACTTGTTCACAAAATTAACATCATTCACATGAGTGATCCCATTAAATCCACAGCATTATCTATTGCCCACAAAATGAAAGCCCATAAACCACTTGACTATCTCTAACCTGACGGATTTTTTCATCTGTGCACCCTGGGACAAACTAAGAATGACATAGCTCTGAATTAATTACTCCTCTGCAGCTCTTCTCATTACCTTTCTCATGTAGACAAATGCTAGTGTTTACAGGATCAAGTTCTCAATTGAAAATGTTCACTGCCAACTCATGCAGCTACCATACAGAGACTATTGCCTGTATCACGTGATATTAACAAAACCAGAGAACTTATGTAAAAATAGTTTAACAATACTTTAAGAAGCAAAACATGATGAATGTGCATATTGCCACCATCCTGAGATTGTGCTTTGCTACAATTAAACCAATAGTCAGGAGTTTCATAATTTCCCAAATAAATGTTATTTTGTATTTAAAAAAATGATTGCTCAAAATTCAGAAATGTAGCAGTCACTGTGTGAAAAAATCACTTTCTTTTCTCCCCAAGTGTAAAATATTTCTCTATTGTAATAATGCAGTTTAATGCTCACAAAATCACATCAGATCAAATCCAACACCGAACTGCTGAGATACACACAAATTGTCTCCTTAGGATGATCACCCTGGAATTAAAATAATAAAATATGTTATTGATATTTCTTGTATAGTAGGAAAACTGCTTGTTCTATTCAAAATAAGCCAATAGCTTAGTCTTCTGTGTATCCATTTCACCTTCTGCATCTGTTTTTTCATCCTTATTTCGGACTGGGAGTCTGTGACATTTATTATACAGCATCACAGGCTCACAAAATTCTCCTGGGTAAGCTAAACTGCTTGTGCCTGATGTAGCTCGAGCATCTGCTCTTTCTAAAGGAGGACTCCTTCATTTGAATACCCCCAGAACTTCTCACACTTACCCCACCTGCACCACCCTCTTCAGGCTTCCTAAGCTAACCAAGGCTGGGTGCAATCAGTTTCTTCTGCTAATCTGAATATGGATATGTTCTAAATTATATTATCTTACTCATATTTTGAAATAGCTAGAGATTGAAACTATTCTGTTTCTTCAACAGGCTAGTTCTGCTGTGGAAAAACAAAACCAAACAAAACTCTTCTAGATCTGTAAATACTTTTTCATTTGATTTGAAATCTAACATAAATTCTAATTTGATTTAATCTATATTTTTCTATTCTGGCAGGTTTTAACTAAACCAGAAGCAACTTATCTCCACTTGTTTCACTACTGACATTTTCTTAACACTAAAACTTAGTGGCTGAACACGAGCAAAGTGTGTGCTTAAAGCTATATGGTATGGGTACTAAAGCAGAAGACCTTTCTTTCAATTATTGTATACATCTAATAATTTCACGCTGTGTAATATTTGCCCAAGTCAAGGATAGGCTGAAATTTGGCTGCCTGACAGGAATCCAGAGGTGTCCTTATTTTCAAAATGTGGTATCATTTTTCTCAAGGTAATTAAAAGTGAAATGTGGGGCAGTTCATATTTCTCCAGCTACATTGAGATGCCACAAGCATAAAAGAATTTCAGCAGAATTTAAGCTCATGTTGGTATCCTACTGTTATAAATAGGTTATTTATAACAATTGTATTTATAAATAGGTTATTTTTAACAGTATTTATCACTTATTTGGATTGCAGTAACTTTCAAGGTTAAGAAAAAGATCACACACCTACAGAGTTTGGAACAAAATGGTTCTCTGATGTTAATTCCTGAGCAAGTAAGCAGGCAGCCCCCTGCTTTACAGGATGCTGCCCTACTAGCTCCACCTTGAGTGGAGGGCTACACTGCTGCTGTCTCTGTCAGAAATAGATGGCTTTTAATCATCTGGTTGGAATTAAAAAGCCCAGACCCAATATTTACTTTCCAGGTAAGATACACTCACCCTCAGTCGAAGTTTCAGCAGTTCTTACTCCCTAACCACCAGCACACCTCTGTTCAACCTGTCCTTCGGTCCTTCTGCTCGGACAATTGAACACTACTCTCTTCCCCAGGCTCAGGGAGTCTCAGTTTCATTCTTTCTTTCTATGTTATTTTCTGTTGACTAACTCCTCTGAGCAGCTGCTTGACGTTACTGTGCTGTATATCAAAGCAACACATACTCACCTTCCCTGCTGTTTCTTTCTAGCAAATGTAAAACCTGAGGGATTCTTGGTCAGACAAAATTTGCATTTTAACCGGGCTTCTGGGCAATGAAAGTTTTGCCAGCCTGATTAATTTATCATCTGACAATTTTTCTAATCAGATTTTTCTGTCTATTTTTAAATATGGATCAGGCCATTTCCCCTCCTTGAACCTATGTTTACTTGAAGCCAATGACATGCCCTTCAGGCTTATCAGGTTAAACCAATGAACAAACAAGACTTCCTTCAGCTGCAGGGCCATAGCAAAAATGATTTGGTAATTTAATATAAAATAATAAAGTTCATTATTTTAATTGCATTTCAAGATTTTGCTGATGTCTCATTTTCCATTTTACCATCTGTGATAGGTATGCATCTACTTTAGCAAAGACATGTACATGTCTGTTGAGCATAATCATAAAGGTGCAGGAGCGGATATTAAGGCAGATTCAGCACAAGCTCTACAGGGCTCTCATATCTGACAATTCTCTCTATCCAGTAAGAAAAGTTCACCCTTACAATGGCAAGGATGGTGTTTAGGAGCAATACTGCCAAAATGATTCATTGGGATGCAGTTATGCTCTCCCCATACTGTTCCAGAACCTGCCACCTGCTTGCAATATAGGTGCTTGCAGAAGAGCAGCTTCCTTCACTTCTTATTTACAGCAGCAACATTTTGTGTCCCAGTAATCTGTGAGGGAAGTTCTGCCCGAGACTTCTGTGGGCACCCAGTGGTGTAAGGAACCTTCAGCTACACACTAACAGGAAAGATCGCGGAGCAGGGAGAAGAACATAAAAGGGAAATTAAAAAGAGAAAGGAGATTGTTCAATTTTTAGAAAAGGTCATTTTCAGTGAAATATACTTATTATAGAATTTCAATTATCTCTAATAGTTGATAATAGTAGTAGAATGGTAGCTCATACTGAAAGCATTTAATTTATTTGGTTTTAAAGGGCTAACTTTTCTCTTTGTAAATGTAAGTGTAAATTAGGGCAGCACAACTTATCCTTCTCTTTGTTTTTTTCTTTACAGCTTATTTTGCTAATTTGGCCACAGAAGTGCTTTTCAGTCTGTCAAGCATGGACAGCATTAATTAACCCATACAGATGCTTAAACATTTTTGTGGCTTCTATCTGGTTCTTTCTAGATTAAATATTCATAAAGAGCTGCCTTTCATTTTCTTAGCTGGTGTAGTTACTACAATTAAAATTACATGGTATGTCTCCGGCGATTTATATTATAGGAGGAACAAATACAATTGAAACCGCAGGGTATAAACAGCTTAGCCACTAAGAAAAATACATTATGTATTTCTTAACCTTTCCAATATGCTGCAACTTTTTTCAAGCAAAAAAGCATATCTCGGCCACATGAAACTGCATACACATACACCTCCTCCTAGATCATCTCCTTCCATGGACTAGGAGAATGGATTCACTAGATGACTTCTAGGTCCCTTGTCACATGTTTTATATTATTCTAATTTTATATGAAACCAGCTTATTTTTCTATTTCTTCAAATAAACTGATACTGAATAAAATTGTGCCTTCTTGGTACTAGCAATCTGCTAGTTTAAAACTTAGCAGTCTCTGACAATGAACCAACTGTGAATGTATCTTTGATAGCATGTTTTCTAAATACCATCAAAGGATATTTTCAAATACATTTCAGAACCTAGCCAGAAGAAAAGCCCTTAGCTTTTGAACTTAAAATTTCTCGCTTGAACAAGATGATGCTATTTTAATTTATTTGAGTAATACAGTCGTAAGATTACACCAGTCCAATTAAAGCATACTGTATACAATGGTAGTTCTACTGTACATTTCACTTACTGTCATATTAACTTGAACCCCCTGGAAAAATAGAGTTCTGTGAAAGGCAAATCCAGCAACAGTATTGTGAGCTGGGGAATTTCTGAACTAGCTTAAAAGATGAAGAAGTATTTATACAAATTGGTCTTACTTTGTCAACAGGGCAAATCAAGATTGAAAACATGCAGTCAAATCTTTTCAAAGTCATCTGTAATCTGTACGTGGTAAATTGGCTCAAGGTCAGAGGCCAGACTCTGTGCTGCATTCCTCTGAGGCAATACACAGAAGGTAGAGGTCCAAGGGGGATGGGACAGTAAGAAAGGACAGAGCAAAGGGAATGACACTTCATCCTATATTTGTAACTCCCAGATTCTTAGCTGCCTCAAGGTAAAATCCTCAGCAAGATCTGCTATAGTGTATGGCAGCTTCCCCACTGCTGTCCACAAGCTGTTCCGCAGCCCAGGGCTGCGAAAGCATGCTGCTCTAAACTTATCTTTACCTAACAAGAGGGAACAAGGGCGCATACGCATGCTACTCCTTCATGGGGCAATCTTAATCCTTACTTTGGCCTCTGTATATATCTGGAAAGGCTGTGCCAGGATTAGGTGGCTTCTCTTTGTCCTGGTTTGGGCTGGGATAGAGTTGATTTTTTTTCCAGTAGCTGGTATAGTGTTATGTTCTGGATTCAGTATGAGAATAACATTGACAACACACTGTTGTTTTCAGTTGTTGCTAAGTAGTGTTTAGACTAAGTCAAGGATTTTTCAGCTTCTCATGCCCAGCCAGCGAGAAGGCTGGAGGGGCACAAGAAGTTGGGAGGGGACACAGCCAGGGCACCTGACCCAAACTGGCCAATGGGGTATTCCATACCATGGGATGTCATGCCCGGTATATAAACTGGTTGGAGTGGGGGTGGGGGGGATTGCTGCTCGGGAACTAACTGGGCATCGGTCGGTGAGTAGTGAGCAATTGCACTGTGCATCACTTGTTTTGTATATTCCAATCCTTTTATTATTATTATTGTCATTTTATTATTGTTATCATTATTATTTTCTTCCTTTCTGTTCTATTAAACTGTTCTTATCTCAACCCACGAGTTTGACGTTTTTTTTTCCCGATTCTCTCCCCCATCCCACTGGGTGGGGGGAAGTGAGTGATCAGCTGCGTGGTGCTTAGTTGCTGGCTGGGGTTAAACCATGACACTCTTGTAGATCATAGTATGTGACTGCCCTTAATAAAGCAATTCACAAAGGAGGCTGGTTCGTGGGAATTTATACCAAACCAAACATAGGCTGGTGAAGACACGTATCTGAGATAAGGAGGCGGTACTGATTGACTGTGAATTATGATGATAATATGTATTTAGCTATGCTTCCCATCTAAAGTTCACAATTAGAAAACATTTCTCAACCCTGTGGTAGATTATATTTATTCAGGAAACTCCAACCTTTCACTTATTTATGAACACAACTTCATTGAGTGTAAGATAGAAATGTCTCTCTAAGGAAGAACAGACCCACACCGTTCGCAAAACAAGTTCTCCCTTGATAAATTACTTGAATAAAGACATTTTATGTGGTAAGAATGTGACCTACCTTTTTAGTCTGATTCACATTTACCAAACTGCAACTTCAAAATGCCTTTGCCATGAAGCTGAAGGATCTGGTTGTATTCTTTGGGCATTGCATGGAAACCTGGTTTAGGCAGCTGGTTGTCGTAATAGTGGTGGCTAATTGGCATCTTCTCTGTGGATTTTGAGAAAGGCCAGAAGCCATAGAGCTTCACATTCTCACACAGCTCAAGAGCAGCACTAGTGATCATAAAACCAGATGATAACCGGTAGGCTTTCACACCCTTAGTTCTCCAGAACTGGGCAAGACTTTTCAGATAAGTGGGGTGAAAAAATATTGCCCTTTGGGTTGCTTTGAACTCTTGCAGAGTGTGATATACTTTAAAAGAAGTGGCTGTGTTGCTTCTGAAGGAAAATGCTGGCAATAAAAGAAAAGCATCTCCATAGACCGCAATGTTCTCCAGAAATTCTGTTTTCTTTTCATTCAGTTTGTTGTATCTGCAAAGTACATTTTAGGAAAAGAGTGAATGGAATGTACTATTGATATAAATATTACAGACCAAACCAGCACAACTGAACTTGCATATATGAATTATGAACTCTGCTGCATCAGTTCAGCCTGTCTACATTGCAAATTTATACCAACCTGTTATATGTTGTCACATGTGTAGTTATGAAAATCTGGCTTTATTGTATAATAAGAACACACTTCATAGGATTGAACTGGCAACATGGGAGCTACTGAATTCACTGCTAATGAGACCAGGACCTGTTTACAGAATTGATCGATTCAAGAAATTTCAAAGGAGAATGCAAAAAAAAATTCCTATTTATACTTTCTCTGCTTAAAAATACATGCACTATGGTATGTACTGCATGCGTTTGTGAAATGTGTTTCTTACATCAATAGGTATACAATAACCTCTCTTCAAAATCTGGGTGTCTGCTCTGTGTGGAAATACAAGTATGCATGCGAGCAGTCTTGGAGTGTTAAAGATTAGTGCGTGCTCAAGTTTTGCAGGGTCTTAGTTGCTTTTGATATGCTTTTAAAATAGATGAAAATATAGGCATGTCTATTTATCTCCTTCAACTACAAAGGGAACACATGGAGATCTGTAAAGACTTAGAGATCTAACTTCACAAATGAAAAGGATTTATCCTCATATGCTTTGGTTCTCCAATAGCCAGGAAAGACACTTAGTTCTCACCATTGGATAATTCCATGCTCCCAAATATTGAAAAGTGAACTTCCAGAGTTATCCAAGAAGTGATACAAGACACAAGAGGGTCACTCAACTTGTTTCCTCTATAGATCTGAGTTGTCTGAATCACCTGAACATATGGTGCTCACACCCCCTTTGGGATTCAAAGCACTGAATACTCTTTTGTAGGTAGTTGTCTATCTGAGCAGTGTATTTTCACCTTTTAAAGGCTACCAGAGCCCACTTTTCACAAATGGCTCCAGCAGAAACTGGAAAACTTGGTTTTATTTCTCTTCACAACTTGAGTAGGTTCAAACCCTCTTCTCATGCAGCACTTCAAGACAGAGGACAGCAGCCACCGCCATTTCCATTCAAAACCCTCACGGAGAAGTTATCGGTTACTTCTTGCACAACTGAACTCATGCAAGGAGTGATACACCCCTTCTCAGCCTGAAGGGGTTTAAGCTTACAGCTTCTGCTACCCAGAAAAGTACTATTACCACCAGACTCTGAAACAAAATGAATGAGAGAGACTCAGCCCCTCCTATTGACCCTGGGCCCCTGTGCAGGCAAAGAGTCACACAGCCAAAAAAACCAAGAAATGCCTGAGTCTATGTCTAGGAAGCGTGGCTGAAGGGTGAACTTCTGGCCTCTACTCCAAGAATCTTCTCTTTTTCTACTCAGTGTAAAGTATATAAAGAGCCTTCAGGACAGAATTCAGATCTTCTTCTTCCTTAGCTGGAAACCTGAACAACTCAACCTCGTCTTGTTTTCTTTTCCAGCTCTGCCACCGTAAGGTGCAGTGTAGCCCAGCTCCATTAGGAAACATAACAACTGTGCTTCTTTCTTCCAAGAGAGTTCACCTACATTATACACCCTGACTGACACAGTTCAAAAGCTGATTAACCTTAACAATAACAACATTGGACTAACCCAGTACCCAAACACAGAATTAGAAATTAAAGTGAATAAAGTCAGAATAAAGTCTTCTGAGAGAAGAAACAAACTTAGTTCTGCTAAATGGTGCCAAATTGCTTCCTGCTACTCCTTCACAAGCATTTACAGTGTCCTCTGAATATTTAAATAATTAATTTTTTTAATTCCTAAAGTCTTCTCATAATCTCATTTTGTCCTCTCACAGGTTTAGCTCCTATTTCCTTCAGTGTAAATGCTATTAACCCTAGTGTGGTTTAATTTGGCTAAAAAAATGAGTGCAGCTGTGGCAGAACACTTTGATCAAGCCCAGACAAATTGTGCATCAGGTCAGTAGTCACCAATAATGCTGAGTCACCAGACAGGTTTCCTTCCTCATATTCTTGTGCAACCCCACTAACATCAATGAGCTAAATCTATTTTTGGGAAAGCAATAATTCATCTTCATTTAAGTCAAAAAGGGCTGGGTAAGCATCGAGGTAGTTAGTACTCACTGCATAAAATCAAGTTCTATCCTTGAATCAATGATAAATGCCTGTTAGTCATTTCTATGCTCACTGTACTTTTTCCTTCTTCCTTTAAAGGAAAAACAACAAAAAAAAGCTTTGCCTGGTGTTGTCTATTTGACAAATACAGATATGACAGACAATAAGATACAGTAAGATCAGTAAGCAGTAAATAACATACCACAGCAGTCCTTTTCATAGATAAGCTGCAGTTTCAGCCTGCTGAAGATGTCAGATTAGTCAGCCTGGCCTTATTTGATTTTCTTTTCATCAAGCAGGTGAAAAAAAAAAACTTTGCTGAGAAAAAAAGTGTGTGAGCAGCTTTTGTATGGTTTGAGAAAATGGATTACAGAAATTGGGCCTTCATTCAGGAAATAGCCTTCATCAGAACAGCCTCTAAGCACATTACCTAAGAACATGTGCTTACAGTCCTACTGATAGAGTCGGACACACATTTCCAAGCTTTCCTGATTTATGATTACAATTCCTTTCCTATGCTGGGGTCATGAGGGTCATGGGGGGAAAAGAAGAGGCTCGGGCTTGCAACCATCAATTTTACTCTGTCATAAATTGTGGCCTGGTGCCAACCAAGGCACTTGCTAATCTGGGTATTGCTGACTCCTTTCTGCTACAAAAAAGGCCAGGTTTAACAGATTTCTGTTTAGGCTGGTACATATTTTACATGGGAACTAAGTCTTAATGAAGTAATCTGCATGCACTGCTCTCTGTGCTGGTATCCCAATGGATTTCCAACAAAATCTAAATCATGTCAAACAATTATACAATATAGCACAAAAACAGATTTGCAGTAGTACTTACTTCTGAGCTATGATACTCGGATTAACAGTCACAAGGTTTGTTTTATTGCCAACATCTTTGCTAATGCTTCCCGTGGTTGGAGGGAGGTTACACCTGTAATTGAGAAACATTTACTTAAACAGATGTGCACCAGAAATGCTTTACAGTTATTATTTGCAAATTCCTCTCCTGTGCAATGACACTTTCACGTCAGCTCCCAGGGATATCTAAGCACTTTACAAATATTAAATAAGGCTTACAGCACTTCTAGTAAAAATATTTAATCTACTGTACAGATGGTTAAAATAGGGCACAGAGAGCTCATTTTCATAAACCGTCTCACAAATCAGGAGCAAAGTTAAAATCCCCAAAGGAGGTATGAATACCCTATGTTAGCCACTAGGCAATATTGCTCCTCCTGCTTAAACAATGCATTTCTTCTGAAAGCCTTCTATTATGTCTTCTAACAACAATGGCATAACTTGCCCAATTGCAGAAACGGTTGTTTCTGGTAAAGAAAGGTAAAGAAAGCATTTTTTAAAACTCAGTCACTTAGTAAATTTAGCATCTCAGTATGTAGATTTCCCATTTTTATTAAGATATCTAACTGGAAAGACTTTGTTTTGTTTTGTTTTGCTTTGTTTTTAATTTGAAAAGCCCAAATATTAGTCAAAAGTAGGAACGCAAAACAAAATCCAGCAGATTGTGTGATTGGACATCACTGAGAGAAGAACCTTCACTCTGTTACTCTGCTCCCTTGCAGGAACTATAAAGTGTGAGACATGTATTCAGAGAGTGGGCCAAATTACACTCTGAGTATGCCTGGTTTTCTCCACAATCTGTAGAGGGAGCTGAAAAAAACTACTTAAATTAGATGCCTAATTTTTTAGATGGCTAACAGAAAACAGAAGGTGAGACAAATATCGGGGCAGTTAAATAACTGCATTAGTGAGCCAACCTAAGGCTAAGTAAAACCTTTGTTAAACCAGAGGTAAAGGTAAACATGTGACATTTAATACCAGTCTTTCTTATTTCAGTTTCAGGGTTCTCTTTATTCTCTTCTCCTGATTAAAAAGAAAAGAAAGAAAAGAAAAGAAAAGAAAAGTTCCCTCTCCTAAAGGATGTTAAATGAATAGAAATTTCAGGTTCTCAGATAATCATGTTTCACATCACTGGCAAGGTATCTTTGCAATCATAGATCATACATGTATCTATATAGTCCTCTGTACTTAGGAAGTAGCGTTCTGAAATCTACAAAGCAGAAAGAGTATCCTTAGAGAGGCAGAAATAAAGAATTGTCAAGATCCTTCCTCATTGCTACAAACTGGCATTGGCATGCTTCCAAGCCTGCCAAGTTTTCGGTAAAGCGAAGCAGCTCTTACCTAAACACAAAGTCAGAATGATCGATTTCAGCTCCACAACTGGAATTTTTCAGAATGCCTCCATTTCCAACCACAGCACAGGTCTTGAAGGGATAGACTGAAAGAGGAGAAGACTGCAAACAAATAAAAAGATGCAGCCAATGCCTTATAAATCTTCTGATTGTTTCTTCACATCTTTAGTCATTTGTCCTTGCAGGTTTAATCTGGTAAATCCCAGTGAAAGCATTCACCATTTAGCAGACAGGGTTGCCAGGCCTGGACAGCCAAAAGCCAAAAATAGGCACCAACAGACTGAGAGCTGCTACTTCTGTCATCAGTACTTTGAGGGAATAACACTGGATTGTTAAAACTGGACAAACATCTTTTAAATACACTCAACACAAAAATTACCTAGTAGTGGACTGAATCCTTAACAAGCTAAGGAACTAACTTGTACTGAAGATAATTTAAATTTACCCGTTTCCTTTGCACTGTAACAGACTGGGGGTTGTCACATAGTCATTGACTTTGTCAGCTAATAGAAGGTAACTTTGGAAATGCTCATTACTTTGTCATCGCACAATTACATTTGATGTAAAATAATCAATTTAGGGGAACCTGAAGATATTGTAAAGGATAATCAAGTGCCCTGGCTTAAGTCACGGTGAATGTGACGGCTCACTGAAGAGGTTACAGTTTCTGGCTGTTCACCCTCTGTACTCCTCTTCTTGTTAGAGGGTGCTGTCTTGCAGTGGCAAAGCTGAATGGGTGCTAAGTGCATCCACTTGTGAACCAGCACAGATCACAGCCTATCAAATTAATGTAAATTGTTGGCTATTTCAGTTGACGTTAATATAGTTGGCTGTAATCCCATGGTCTCAGAAACATCTCATACATCTCATTCACCCTCTCCTGCTGTGGGAGCACTGACATTCAACAGAGGCCAACAGCTGGGCTACTTTGACTGCAGAAACTGAACCCACTGGTAAAACTGAGTTGAAACTTGCTTACACAAAGCATTATCCTTCCTCCTTCTCTCATCAGCTTGCCCAAAGAGAAGCAGGAAGGGACCCTGTTATGAGCAAGGCAAAAAGCGTGGGGAAAGTGGCAGACATCACGTTGCCTGGCAATACATTACAAAACAACATGTTCAAATATTTTGTTCAATTCTGAAGAGACAGTAGGAGAACACAAAAGCCAGACAACTCTGGCTAGCTTAGCAAGTATATGCACACATAAAATATACTACTTTTTGCTTTCATTCGGTTTAAATTTGGAACCACTGTAACCTCTATTGCAATGAAGTTTTTAGTGATTCACAGCAGCATTAGAAAGGACAAGACTCATGGTGGCTGGGATCTCACAAATCAAGAATGCCAGAGATGGGTAAGAGGGCTCCCATGTGCTCTTATTTTCGAGAGACACCTCTGTGCCCCTCTTTGTCTGGTCTCCAGAGCTTCTATGTCTATTTTAAGTCCTGAGCTACAAAATCTGATTCCTTTGCTCAAACTGTGTTTCTGGCTGCAAAGGCCCCACCCCAGTGGGCAACAAAACTGGTGAAAGGGCTGGAAAGAATGCCCTGTGAGGAGTGCATACGGACTTCAGGCTTGTCTAGTTTGGAGAAAAGGAGGCTGAGGAGCAGCCTCATTACTCTCTACAGCTTCCTGAGGAGGGGAAGTGGAGAGGGAGGTGCTGATCCCTTCTTGGTGGTATCCAGTGATAGGATGCATGGGAATGGTTCAAAGCTGCACCAGGGGAGGTTTAGACTGGACATTAGGAAGCATTTCTTTACTGACAGGGTGGTCAAACACTGGAACAGGCTTCCTAGAGAGGTGGTCGATGCCCCAAGCCTGTCAGTGTTTAAGAGGCATTTGGACAATCCCTTTAATAACATGCTTTAACTTGGTCAGCTCTGAATTGGTCAGTCAGTTGGACTAGATGATAATTGTAGGTCCCTTCCAACTGAAATATTCTATTCCATTCTATTCCTACTCCTTTCTATATCAGGTTTAACACCACAATAGCTTTCATAAGTTACATGCCCAAGCCTGCACCAGAAATGGCATGGGAATACGAAGGAACATGAAATGCTGTTCAGACTGAAATGCCACTGAAAATGGGAATGGGAAAAGCAAGGCAAACGTTCTCAGAGTATTCACTCCTGAATTCAGCTGGCTGCAAAGCCAGGCTGCAACTTGTGTTCTGTAGCAACTCTGCCTACAAACTGATCTATGATACCCTGTCCATGCCTCCACCACTGCAGAGGAAGGCTAAAAAAAAGGTCTTACAAGGTGGATGAAGAAGTGCATACAGGGGGTGAAGGGTTTCTTCCAGGGGAATCAAACAAAGCAGCTCTATGACTAACCCCAAATATATATGATACTGCAATTATAATAACAGGTAATGATATGGTTCTTACCACAGGCAGCATCTTAAAAATGTCCTCTGTAATGAGGATGGTCTTTTTACTGTCCACTTCGTAACTCATGTTACTTCCCAGTGGGCTGTTGTTTTGAGAAGCAATAAAATTGTGAACTGCATCACAGCAGGAAGCTAATTCTGACCTGCAAAAAACCCAAACAAAACCTGCTCAAAGACAGGCAAATAAGTAGAAAAGCAGTGGTAGAGAACTAGATGAATGAAAACCAGTTCTAATTAACTAAGCAACAAAAGGCTATATGAACCCTCTATAATGTCATTTCCCTTGACTTGCTTTGCAGAGCAAGTCCATTTTCACAGCAAATGTTCAGAAACTAATCAGACCGAGAACTCCTTTTCTTATCCTGTTTTTTTCTCTTGGTCTCCCTTTTCCATCCAGAAAAAGTTGTAATCAGTCTTCTCCTTATTATTAATTGCTAAGATTATTGTAGAAACACTGAGACACTTCAGTCCCTAAAGAATTAACAATGTGATTTCAATCAATGTAGAACGCGTGATTGTAAGAAACTAGAAGGCTGAAGAAAGAACCAAGGAGGTGAAAGGAATGGTGATGGGAAGTACTGGCTATAGTACTTAGTGAACAGCTAGATGATTACAAGCCAATTAATTAATAACTCATTTCTGCAACTGTTCAGCACAGTCTTCCTGTGCACAGTATCACAGATGTTAAATAAATTACATCACAACTTGCAAATAAAGACGATGGGTATCTTTGTGGTAGAGACAGATAGCCTAGCTCCTCCCCGAAATACCTAGCAGAAGACCTTAAATAGATAAGAGTGCAAGGGATTCACTCAAACTTTATGTAGAAGTGAAGGCTATCGCCCATCTTACAATTGCTGTTACCTCCAAACTTCTAAAAATATTATGTGTGCAAACACCCTATATTATTAACAGTGAAATGCAATGAAAAGCCTCATCAGACCATTTAAAATCAGACCTGAAACGCTGTAATTCATTTTGCTTTAGGGAACAATGTTCTCTCTGCTGCCACTGGATCCCATTTTCAGACTGTGAGGCTGAAATATTCATGGCCAGACATTATCTATCAATCGTTAGGACATAGCTATCTGATTAGGTGAGACACTAAGAGAACTACTAACCATTTAGAGAAGAAAATTCATTGATAACAGAATTGCCTGGAATTTTGAAGAAGATAACACAGCAGGGAAAAGATAGTAATTCCTGTCCTAACACTGCAGGGAAATTGTGAAGAAAAAAGAATTTACAGTTAAAGCCAGAGGAATAGAAAAGTTTTTTTCATACTTTTTCAGTGAAAGAGGTAAATCAAACCATTGGAACTAGTTAAAACAATACAGGCCAAATTCTGGCTGAAAGTAAGCAGACTTTAATAGGGTAAGACACATGTAAGAGAAGTTGCTTCGACTTTATCAACAGTGTACACAGAGCAAATATTCTAATAATAATATAATTTTATTCTGATGGAGATGAGGCAGTCTAGCACATGGAAGAACCCAAGGATTATGTTTCCTGGAAGACAGGGAAGAAAATGAACACTTCTCTTGAAATAATGGTCAAAAAGGGGGGGGGGGGGTGAGGTTGGGAAGGTTGGTTTGATTCATACATAAAATACCAAAGGAAAGAGTACCATTTCAATTGTCAGATGGCTTACGGGTATATATTAACCTGTTTTGAATACTGAGCTCTGAAACTCCTCAAAGACAAAGCTTCCAAATATGTGAGGAATACTGGGAATGACTGAGTGCTGGGATGGCACAGATCTGAAATAATCTTACTAGGAGAGTTACCAGGAAATATTAAGGGGAAATATTACTCCTGAGGGAGGAAACAGTCAGGTTCAGATTTCCACAAGCCATATTCAGCTCCACTCCCTGAACACAGTGATTCCCACTGCCTTGCTTGAAGCCTTAAGGGGCGGGGTTTGCGATCAATGAAAATCTCTAGGTACAAGGGTGGGGATGGAACTGAGACTATGCTCTTGTGGGTCAGGAGGTGCACATGTGGTAAAAACAATTGCTCTGAGCATATAGTGTCCTATTTCAAACATATGGAAGAATACAAATGGAGCAATGAGGCAGGAGACTCAGACGATTTAAGTCTGGGAACACTGGATGTTACTGAACCACTCTTTACTAGAGTCCACTTGCTTTTCTTTCTTGTACACTTTTTCCTATAACCAGCTCTTTCTAACCTTAATATGGACTGCAGTCATAAGAGGATTCAGATACAACGTCAGGCCCTGAGGGCACCACCAAGCCTCATTACCCCTGCCCAGACCCCCAGGGCCACCTGCATCCTGCCCATAGCCCAGGACCCCATCTCAGCCCCACAGAGTCATCAGCCCCTGCCCCAGCAACACTGCGGCAGGGCCGGTCTCCAGCTGTGCCTATCCCATCCCCAGGGAGGTGCCCAATGCCCGGGACTAGGGCTGCCCCACTCCTGGCTGGGGCCTGCTCTGCTGGCCAGGTTATTGCGCTTGGACCTCACTCCCTGTCCCTTAGGGAGCAGCAGTCCCTCACTGCTCCCTGCCAACCACATGGAGAAAAGGAATCACAAAACCCGTAATTTTGATTTCCTTGAATTTTTTCTTAAAGTGCAGTGAAGCAGGCCTAAACGTTATGTCTGTCAACCACAGGACGTTCAGAGGAGAAGGAACAATGCCAGAATATTCTTGCCCAGCTTTAGTAAAACAGCTGTTTTGTGTGTGATGGCTACCAGCACCTGAAGAAGCAAACTGATGATAGATAACATTCATTAATACAGGTGACGTAAAAAGCATTTTTGCTTTTTGTTACTCATTCCACAAGAATGAGTGCTTCAATAAAAGCAGAAACAGTCTGGAAGAAAAACAGGTATCAGAATTAATAAGAAAGTAATAGTTTAAATTAATATTATGGATCCACTGAGGAAGTAGAACAGAGCCAGGCTAGTTCAGAAACGCAGTGAGAACAAGAGAATACATATTGATTAATGAAATATATTCTTACGTTACCTAAGAGCATATGTGCTAAAAATTGGGAGGTAACAATAGAAACCTCTTACTTAGATCAAATCATGACACAGAATCCCACTGTGCCCAAGCATCCATGTACAGAGCTCCAGCGGGAATGCACGTAACCTGCAGACAGCAATACCCACTGGCAAGATATTTAGTGATTTGTTCATATGGGATTTTATACAAGCTTTAACACATGGTACCTCTACAACTGACAGCAAACAATGAGGAAGGGGTAAAGACTGGGCAGTTCAATTGTCATCATAGTATTAATGTCATATGTGGTCTCTGTCATGAGGTAATGACACTCTAAAGAGCATATACTTCATGAGATTAAGACATGTACCGTACAAGACAATTCTTTTAACAAGTGCTATATGTAAGGTGTTGCAAAGTCAAGACAACATTTTAACTCCTGTATCATGCCACCTGGAGAGAGAGAAATTGTTTAAACCCACCTTACAAAGAAGTTCCTAACTAGGTGGTGGGATAAGAGACAAGGGTCAGAATCTTAACAGCACCAAACAGTACTACCTTAAAGCCAAACTCTGCATTTTCTTTGGAAGGGTAGAAAGTGAACCACATTGTCTGTTCTGACCAGGAGAAAATGCTGAGATAAGGGGGCAGCTCTTGGAAGATGGGATGTTGCTCTACAGGCTGAGTATCCACCTCAGATACATGTAAGAACATGGATGTAGCTTATGGTAAGAAGGTTTAAGTTCCACTTGTTAACAGAGCTGCTAGACTTGGGGGTTGCCCTAGAACAAAATGTTTTTATGATCCAGTCACAGCATTAGAAGTCTAGAGTGAAGGAACCTGGAGTCAAAGTACCCAAGTTTTGTAGGGCTCTAGATTTGGAAAGTACCTCCTCTGGAGTACAGGTTGTTACTGCCAGTTTCTTATTTGGAGGAAGCCCTCTCCCCAACATTTCTCCTACAAGCAGCTGGAAGCAGAGTGAGACCCAAGAGCTATTTTTAAATCCTGAGGCATAACATCAACCAGAGATATTTCTTATGCCAAGATAAGCAGAAAGGGAGTTGATTGCATTATCTGGAAATTTCACTTGTAACAAGTAAGGAACAAAATCAGTACCTTGAAAAAGACTACACCATTAGGACTGGTAATACATACCTCATAAAACTGAATAAGTACAGTCATGATAGTCTTAATCAATAACCTAACCGGTATGGTGTGCTGCATTTGTCTAATACGAACAAAACTTCACAGACAACACAGAGTCATTGTTGCACTGGAGAACATTTTTTGTTGCTCAGCAGACACTGTTGCTGAATTTTGTCCTTTGTGGACCAAGGATGCTGAGCCCATTTTTGTATTGAGGTCAGCTGGGATGGAATTCTGAGGCCAGATGGCATCCAGATAATTTCTTCAGGTTTGTGGCTGCTGAGAACTTAAGAAAATCTTGGTTTCTGAAGCAAGTTATCAAAGTATTGAGACAAGCCAAAGGAATAATGGTGTTTCCAGCTTCTATGCAGTCAGTCCCCACTGAACTGTGGGCAGTAATAGAGGACTACTGCCTTGCTTGTACATGTTTCCAAACTCCATCTGCATAATGCAAACACTTAACATGGATAGTACACTATATTTCGTGAAAGTCAGTAAGTACCTGCAGGATCTAAGTAAACTGATGTAGTCTTTTTGCAGCTCCTGTATTAGCTCTGTAGCCAAGAAGCTCAGCCTGAACTATTGTATCCCTTCTAGCAGCAAAATTAATTAGCTCAGCTTGGTTGTGCACTAATATGAATATATGCATTTTAGCTGGTTCAGCACTTGCGTACAGGCTGCACGTGCCTGCTGACAAGACACAGTGTGCACACATCCTGAAAAGACTGCAAATGTCTCAACATCTTCATTCTAACAACTCCATTTCAACCAGCCATAAGAACTAAAGCAGTCAACAGTTAGTCAAGGGCAAGCAGAGTTTCTCAGCTGGTCCAAAAGCTGGCACTTATCCTGTGTGGAATGGGAAGAATCTATAATAAGGGTGAAATTTGTCTTTATGCAAAGAGCTTCTGCAGAGTTTCAAAGCTCCCCACTCCTCCAAACTACTGATACAAGCACCAAGAAGACCTTTCATTCATCCTCCTGCAGTAAGTAGGATGGTTCTTATTCAGAACACTTTCCTTCATT